AAGAACCTATCACGCAACAAATAAATATGCAGGAGAGGAAAGTGGAGATGGATTGTATTGGGTATACACTGAGAAGGTGGATTGGGGACATCATGCGTCAGGCCAGGCCGTTGAGTGGAATCCAAAGGGGAAATGACGAGTTTGGTGTGCGAGGTGAGAGTGACATGGAGGAGGTCATGTGAGGAAGAGATGAAAGCTTGTGGGCAGTTGTGGCGTGAGGTTCAAAAGACTTCAGAGAAGAGAGTGCAGTGGTGTGCTAGTGAAGCCCTATATTCCACTAGGAACCCAATGGAAAAATAATAATAATATTATACTTGGATATTGTGATATATAACTGTGGAACCCTAAAACGAATTCATTTTCAAAGAACTAAACGTTCATACTCAATGTAAATTGATGTAAATGATGTAAATTTTCTCCCGATTTTCAAATATGCTGTTAAAACTTTCATGTGCAGTAGCCAGTGACAGTACTAAGTTTCAGTATTACTGACTTAGGCTTATCAATCCAAATTTGTAGGTTACTTATTTGGGAAACTAATCCTGTCACTTCCATTGTAGTGTTCAACAGATACAATTCTTGACGAAATCTTAATACGTGCAGAGTCAAAAAATAAAACAATAAGTACGCTCACCCTAAGTTTCTGTATGAAAGAACTAGTACAACTAATGAAAAATGGTGTATTTATTCGAAAAATTCAACATATCTAATTTATCTATTGACTTTAAAGGCTACCCTAGCAACTGCTGAAATAACCAATCAGGTCCCAGTATGTTGGTTGGGAAGGTAGATTTCCATAAAACATAGAACCCCGTAATTGGTGATATCAGCAGTTGCTAGAGTGGCCTTTACAGTAACCCAGTTTATTAATTAGAATATACCATAGTTACCATTTGTTGGTTTACTAAATTGCGGTAATGTTCAACCGACAGTTATCATAGTCAATGATATTTTTCTTCATTTCCTGCTATCGTATTGGTTTCCGATTGGTAGATGAGACCTCGATAAAGTTGAGTGTATTCTTCAATTACTATTCCAATCGGTACATTTAAGATCTTTCCGTGCTACAATGAGACGAAGGGCGGCGTATACGTTCTACTGGCTTAACTGAAGTGTGACAAAAGAGATTTTTTTTACCAGAGAAGCGAAATATTGGTTGACGATGAAAACTGTAGATTCCATATTATTGATTACTATCGGCTGAACTGATAAGAATAATATTGAAAGGTAGTAGTCATCACAAACTGGGATCAGTTGAAAAACCACAAAAACAGGAGCACTGGACAGCTGTTTCGTGTCAGCGTGGGACTCTTCAGCAGTGTGCACCCAAGACACTGCCGCGAATCGAATCCATGACCTTCAGGCTACATGAAGAACCCATCAACCATTCACCCAGTGGGTCAGAAATCAATGGTCTATGGTTTCATGCATTTTTCAATTCGCACTATAGAGCGATTATCACCAAAGGTCTTCAGTTGGCACCTTCACCACAAGTCACGGGCTTCTCATTAGAAGTTCGAGATATCCATTTTGAAGTATGTCGCTAATGAGTGCTATGCAGTAATTTAGTTTAAGGTTAGTGGGGATTTTAATTTTAAGGACTAATGTCAGTGATGAATACTACCCCAAAATTGAAATCCCAATTAAAGAAGTAAAACTTGGGCAGTGGTGGACTTTATTTCCATTTTAGTCTATTTATTAGAAATGACACACTGAAAGTTTCATTTACCGGACAACGTTTCGGACACATTTAACTATCCATACTCAATGTCAGGTAACTCCACAACTTTGAGGTTAATAGTTCATATAGTTCTAATCTCCTGTCTCTTCTCCTACCCTTGCCACAAAGATGGAGAGAAAATTAGGACTATATAAACTCCGTCTCAGAGTTGTGCAGTTACCTGATATGAATATGGATACACTAATTTATGTCCGAAACGTTATTCAGTGAATGACACTGTTTCACCATGTGACATTTCTAATAAACTGTCTAAACTCCACATTAACCTCTAAATACGATAGCAATGAAGTCAGGTATTTTTTAATGGAACATCACTCACTGGGAGGCAGGTACATCTAGCTGACGAGTTGCAAATAGGACGAAATGCGCGTCCTGGATTCCACTGCTATATAATTAAGAACACAGGCAATATCGAGACATTCGCGGAGGAGCCCATAAGCCAATAGAGACCAATCAATTCGGTCCAACCAACGACGGTATAATACAGGCAATAACACTAAAATAATACCTGTTGCACAAGAAGTGGCTATTGTGGCTCAGTGGTCTAATGGATAACGCTCTGACGTTTGAGGCGATCGGTCATGAGTTCGAGTCCTAGTGGGAACAACAGCGCTCACTGGGAGGCAGGTACATCCAGCTGACGAGTCCCGAATAGGACGAGGTGCGCATCCTGAATTCTCTAATGAATATATGGTTAAACAGACTGTTCAAAAAAAGCTTAGTAGAGACTTTTTACACTCCTGGATCATATGTTAAGACTAAGAGAACCGACGAAAACTATGATAGTTAAGACTCCCTTTTAAAAAAGGAATTGTGGTATGAAAAAATATTCTTACGACTATAACCATGACAAAGCTTTGCTGATGAACCAAATTACAGAATCCTATGGTTTGCGGTATTTATAGACGGTTCTTTTTAAGAATGCAGGCTAACCATGGTGCCTTGTTGCTAAGGCTACAGAACAGAAACATTCAAATATTTCTGACACAGAAACAGTTAACAGTATGTAATGTGATGCTGATTGATAGAATTCCAATAGAGTTAAGTCCTAGAGTATAAACTTGTCTACAACCCACCAATAACTTCAGTTAACCAAATCAACCTACCAAATTGGTGTTTGTATCCTATTCTGACCAATATCCATGCCCCCCTGTTTAACTAAACAAAGAATAAATTATCTGCACTTTATAATCAATTCTTAGGTAAACAAAATCAACAGAAAAAATCATCATAACGTCAAGCTCTCATGAAAATAATAATGAAGGTCAGTGAAAAGGATGAAGTAAGAATACATGTTAACTAATCAATACTGGATAAGTGAGAATAACACTCAAAATTATTGATAATATGAGATGCACACACATGCGTACATACAGACCAGTAATATGGAAAGGTCAATAATACTGTTCATGTTTAAGTGATTAAACATGAGATGAAACAGTGTTTATTGATCATTTGAATGAATCCACGTTTGTGGGTGGAAAAAATGACGCAGGGAAATATTAGTAATATTACTGTCTGTTGACATGCCTGAAATTCTCTGCTGTTTCACTGGATTGAATTGTCCGGCCTCTATTAGCAAAGGGACTCGTATGCAGATGCCTCGATATTGTCTGAATATTTATTACAATAGTTTACTTGTTTGTGACTAGCAGAGGAACCCAGTATGCGCGTTTCGTCTTATTTGAGACTCTTCAACTAGATATACTTGCATCCCAGTGAGTGATGTTGTTCCCACAACGGAGAATTACGAGCGTATCAACAAACAGTAATAACTAATACCCGTTGTACAAGGAGTGGCTATTGTATCTCAGTGGCCTAGTGGATAACGCTTTGGTGTTTGAAGCAATGGACACTGGGTTGGAATCTCAGCGGGAACAACATCACTCACCGGGGTGCGGGTACCTCCAGCTGACGAGCCCCAAACAGGACGAAAAGCGCATCCTGGATTCCTCTGCTAGTCACAACCAAGTAAACTATCATAATAAATATTGGCAGGCTGTTTGTACTAATTGAAAGACTATGATTTTTGTATGTAAGACAAATGGTATGTCACGAGTTAATTGTCACCCAGTCTATAATACTATGGCGGGTGAAGTGGTGAATCTTGAGTTCTAGCAATAAAATTCGCTGGGATATGAGCTAACGACACCTGAGTGGTGTGGAGAATTATACTTTCAGGATTCCATTTTTAGCAACCATTAAGTTATTCTCAAATATCTAAAAGTATCATAAAATTCGTTTGAATGCAAAGTTTGGTACAAAGCATATCATGAACATTTGTACAAAGTGGAATATCATTATTCATAATCGAAAGCAGATTGTAGTTTTAAAAGTTTCCAAAATGTGTAAAAATTGCAAGTTAAGTGATACGAAGTTGTGGTGCACCGCGTACATAGTCCAAAATTCAAGAATCAATCACTAAAATGTGCATTTTAACTTGGTTTTCGCATTTTTTTTCACACTCATCAGCAAAGAATATTTGCAGTCTTTAGGAGAATCATATCTCCTCAAAGATTCGAAGTTGTGTAATGTCCTACAATAGATCTGAAATAAAGTTACCGATTTCACTGAATGATAGTTTAAAATCTGTAAGATAATATGAACTTTTTAAGAGTTGTGATGAGTGCCAACAAATATGAAACGTGATTTAAGAGGTTCTTGCTACTGACTGACCCTTAACACCTAGTTAAAAAGAAACCGCATAATATTATCGTGTCCCTTAACTTAGAGGTTAAACAACAAACTTGATCAACAGACTTGGAAAAGTACTCGTGATTCGACAGTTAAGTCAGATGCCATCCCTTGATCGATTCATGTAAGAATAAATGAATTTGAACCGTTTATGATAATTTTGGTTGCAGACTAGTATCAGGAGGGACCGATTGAAGTTGGTGCTCAGAAGTCATAGGAGTAAATAAGAAAGGCATCCACCCTTCTTATCAAATGTAACTGGATATATTTCGCCCCGTTCCAGACCTTCAGGCATACCTCTTTCGTATGCATCAACCGCTTATACGCTTGATTTTCATCCTTCAAGGTCCATTTTACCCATGGTCATCCAAGTAACATTTTAAATCCTCATAAGCACAGTTTGCAATCTAACTAACTCATGAATATGAGAATGGTTACTGGGTTTCTTTGCATCACTTCACTCACTTCTGGTTACATTCCCCTGAAATATAAACTCTGTGAAATCTAATAAAATAAATATAACTCAAGTATGCATATTATCAAATAGTGTCAATTAACCTCTTACCTGTCATGATGGCAACGTGATTTCATATGTTTGCTTAGATTTCCTCGTGTTTTGAAGGAAACATCACAGTTATGACATATATACGGTCGGTTATATGTTTGCAGGCGCCAATGTTTTTTTAGGTGATACGATTTAACTGTATGCAATGTATTTACTTCTTGGCAACGATATTTTCCATGTGGAGAAGTGTTAGGTCGTTGTAAATTATGTGAAGTTGATATACACTTTTTATGATTGCCGTTAAACCTTGAAAAATTTAGTTTTCTTTTATGATGAGCTGGACGATATTGGAATTTTATTCTCTCTGATTGGTTAGCTGGTAGGATTGTAACAAGCTTATGTTTGGTTTGCTGTTGTTGTTGCGATCCATTATAAGATTGCTTAGTGTCAACAGAAGCTTCAGCACCCACAGTCTTGCCAGGAGAAATGACATTACCAGAAGAAGGAAGTGCAGGATGAACAGGAGGGTTAACGTAAAAAGTAGCAGTAGTTGTACTGTTGGTGACAGATGTCGTCTTGCCAATACTGGTTTTAGTGCAACTACTTGTCATATCATGACTAGAGACGGATATGGATGATATTTTCTGATCTGAACCGTTTTGTTGTCCTGTTAAAGAATGCTGTTGTTGTTCTTGTAAGGATTTGTTTTCCGTAGACGGTAAGACATTGTACGGTTTGACTTTAGAGGCTTCAGGTACAGGTCTTATCGGCACTGGAATGCAGTCAGTATTAAAAAAAAAAAACTTGAACTAACACAACCACAAAGGAAAGAATTTCACAATAACAGCAACAAATGAAGTATATAGAAAAAATCAGTGGTGGAAAGGTCAGTAGAGGTGTGACTAATTGACTTAAGCATCTAACTTTTAACTTATGGGTCTTAGATTCAAACAAAACTCCACCTATTTTATTGTCAGAGACATAAAAGTATCACAAACACTTACATAGTAAGTGTAGTCCATAGTTTTTTAAATAAAAGCCTATACCGGATGGTTGAGTTGTAGTATATATTATTGTAGTGTGCGAGAGAGGTAATTTACTAAGTACTGTTTTCATTTTGAAAACCATTCGCCAGTTAGGTAAATAACTTCATCGATATTAAACTCCAAAAAAAAACAAAGAACGATATTCATATTATCTACTTTCTCAGAAAAAGATGACAGATAAATTGAAGGGACTGGTCAATGTTTAATTCATATTCAAAACGATGACCGGAATTTCCCTATTGAAAGCACTACCTTCTAAGCTACACTACCATGCAGAACGACGTTTTCATCAGAGCATTTCCGTATACTGAAATACAGGTAATCTTTACAAATGAGGAGACCTCATGTTTACATGATGACCTCAATAACTTATTAGTCGAAGTCCGATGAAGTGGGTGAATGGTTAACGCGTTTGCCGTGAAACCTGAAGTTCCTGAGTTTAATCCCTGGCAGAGTTGTGAGTGCCTACTGCTGAGTAGTCCCATAATAAGACAAAACAGCTGTCCAATGTTCCTAGGTTTCCAATGGTTCCCCAACTGATGTCAGTTCGTTATGAATGCAACCTTAAAAAATAAAATCTTTATAAACCTTAAACTAAATTATTAAGTTTCATCAAAAGCTATTGAGATATGTATTCAAACTCGGCATAGTACATTGCACTTAGGGCTAACATCCATGAAATTGATGGAACAATCACACAAAAATATCAAAGGTCAAGTGATTTTGAACAACCAAAATTAGTAGGCATAATAAAATTACATTTTACTGTTTCAGATGTATTGAATTGATAACTTATTTATTGACTCAACTGGCTCATTGATGAAATCTTATCTTCCAGTAATAAAGACCTTAATCAAAACATTTCATTCCCTAATAGAAACGAAATATACCGTTTTTTTTCAGAAATATTAACCTACCTATATGATGTCAATAACAAACAATAAAACCCGGTGAATTATAAGTCAGTAGTCCTGAAACAATTAGTGGAGTTGTTTACTGGTGTCATTTTAAACAAAGTCGTATTCAAAACCAAGATGAAGTCATTTGCTCAAATGCTTTTCATGATTAAGATAATAAAAAGGATCTCCATTTCACATCACTGCACTTGACTACTATGTAAATGAAGGAGATATACAAATTCACATTTCATTACAAAACATATGTCTTGTCTTCTTAAACCGAATCGAATATAATTACACACGAATTAGCTACTGGTTGATTTACAATTACGTTATCTGGGATAAGATCAGTTAGCAACTAATGGCTATCGATGAAAATGTAATAACACCGTAGAATTTATATCAAGGACCTCTAAATTGCCAGTCCGGTGTTGTACCAATTGAGTCACAGAAACTAATTGTTTAGTGAGCTTTGGAAATAACAGCAAATTGTCATGTGAATGAAAGATGTGTCTATAAATCATCCAAATGCTTCAGAAACTTAATCTTGATCTATTTGAATAGGGACATCAAAACGTACTTAGTAATAAAAGTAGTGAATATTTTTCATTGTTATGATAATCGGGGATTGTTACAGCCTATGATGAGTTATCAGGTGAGTTGTGTTCGTCGGGTGGTATTCGATAAGTGGTTTACTCTCGAAATGTTTATTCAACTTCATCGTAGATGCAGGTTTGAAAGTCTGACCCGCGTCTGATTATGTAGATGATATAATACTGTTAGCTGAAGATGCTGACAATATACAGAGTCTTGTCTACACCTTCAGTAGCAATTTGAGAATGCTTGGGATACGCTTCTAACCACCCAAATACAAAATGTTGCTCCATGACTGATCTGTAGTGTAGCTCTATCTAACAAAAAAGAATAAAGTTGTTCAATGTATTGACAACCCCATCTAATTCGGAAGTCGGATCAGTCCTAGTGAGTTGATAACCGACGAAGTCCCTGCATGCATAGAAAAGGTCCGATTGGATTTCGCCAATTTACGCCACCTATGGCTTTGGGGTGGTATATGATTACCTACTAAGGCTCGAGTGTACTAAGCAACAATTTGCTTTGTCACACTGTATGGCTATCAAACATAGTGATTAAATGAAGCAAAAAGAACGACAGTAGTGGCATTAGCATGCATGTATTTTGTGAGTTCTGCTTACTTGCTTTACAGCCTATAGAATATGTTTATGTTTTTTTTTAAATGAAGTATGCTCTCATAAACCGAGCAGAAAATGGTTACTCAGAAAAGTCCACCGATAAGCACAGTAGGACAGAAACAAAAAGTGCAGTTCAGTTACGAAGAAGTCCACCTTTCGATATTTTGCCTTCGAAGAGGATACAATTGCCAACGGGAACAATCATAGACTGAAAACTCGACTGAAAAAGACCTATTCATGCACGAAAATAGTCTATGTGTACCAGACTAACTGCTCATTCAGATAACTCAAAGTGGACAAGTTTCCAACCTCCAAATGTATCTACCAACTCACATATATGTGGTAGAGTATAGAAATTGGAAAAACAGAGAGAAAATTTCGTGTTCACATTTCTGAATAGGGTTTAAATACTGCAATTGCATGTTATTTAATACTAGACTTAATGTCAACATATCTAAATCATTCAAAGTGATCAATAAACAACTCAAACCCAACCTACTGAGCTTCAATGAAGCAGTCGTAACTAAAAGACTTAAATCTTACCTATGCATTCCAAAAGATAACATTGCCAATCTTATTTTTACCTATGTAATATTAGTCTCCTAAATATGCAACTATAAAATATCATGACTTTATGATCCTCCGGTTTCTTCAGTTAGTCTTTTAATCTACTTCAAAATCTACTCTCACTTCTGGTTTGTTTTTCATTTTATTGCCAAATATAATGAAAATCTGTTAGTCTTTTATCAGGCTTACTCAATTATGACATCAATTTTTGACAACTCGAGAATAAGATCGTTTACAACCCCCCCCCTTCCACTTCCTGCTACCTTCTCTACAATAATCATCCGATCATTTTATAGATGATTAACCTTTAAGAAGTCGTAACAACTTCATCAAATATCATCAGTCTACATATTTGTTACCTTCCATGTCAATCAAAACACTCATGTTAATTCATGAAAGTATGTTGTATACCTTTTTTTCTCTTTACCATAAACACTGTTTTACAGGCTGTAAACAACCTGAGAAGAATCTACGAAATATATAAATCCTAATCCAGTTAATATTGCTCTTCTTGATTTATTTAAGTTCGTGTAAGAGAAGAATCATACGAAAATAGCCATTAAAGGTAAAGAACATGAAAAGGTTTCAGGTGTACGACTACCGTTGTCTTTATAACATGGACTATGTGTCATGATGCCATTCCTTCTTATTCTTTACTTACGACTTTCTACTACTCCCCAATACTTTCTTTTTTATTTCTCAACCTTTCATTTTGGGGCTTCCTATATTAGTGTGCTAGCATCTTAATCTGTTACGCAGTAACCCCAGGTCCTGCACTGAAGCTGACTAACTTATGAAGACTGAAATCAATAATCAAATAAAAAAGTGAAGCTCAGAAATTATCTCAGCCCGAGAAGTACTGAGTCGCCACAAATAAGCTGACTTAGCATCAACTTGTCAGAATTCTATATTGAGGCATACATCTGCAGATATTCTAATCACTCAACTAACGTACACAAAAAAGCCTAACAACAAATTACTTTAATAAAATTTTACGTGGCGTTCCTAGTGGAATATAGGGCTTCACTAGCACACCACTGCACTCTCTTCTCTGAAGTCTTTTGAACCTCACGCCACAACTGCCCACAAGCTTTCATCTCTTCCTCACATGACCTCCTCCATGTCACTCTCACCTCGCACACCAAACTCGTCATTTCCCCTTTGGATTCCACTCAACAGCCTGGCCTGACGCGTGATGTCCCCAATCCACCTTCTCAGTGTATACCCAATACAATCCATCTCCACTTTCCTCTCCTGTATATTTATTTGTTGCGTGATAGGTTCTTGGTCGGTTGGTTGCCAGGTCAGAGTTCTTTGTTGTTTATTCTTTCTGGCAATCCATGTGATCTTCAGTGTCAGTATCGAGCCAGCGTAGGCGGCAGCTGTTGATGTGATGAATGTCTGTAGTTTGTTGGAAGTGCTTTTCGTGACACGCCGCCAAGTCTCTCAACCATCACATAGAAACACTGACTTGACTTGACTGAATTGGTGTTGAAAATCCGGACCATGTTCACGCTTTGTGCTGAGTTGAGTGGAGTAGATCTCCACACTGATTTGAGATAAGTGAAAGCCTGTCTTGCTGTCTTTCCGATCCTGGCTGCTTTGACATCCTCGTCTGTGCCACCACCGCCTGTAGTTGAAACGATGCTGCCTACTAGGTGGGTGAAAGAGACTACTTCCCCTTTAGGTTTCTCCCATTAATGGTGATTGTTGCTTGTTGTTTGTTGTTAGTGGTGTTGTTGGTTGGGTATCCTCATCACGTCTACCTCCGTCTCTTCTACACTCACCTGAAGAAAGTCGCATCATCGCTGCCCAGCCTCTTCTTCCAACTTGTTAGTTTTCGCCTGTACATCTTCGAGTTTGTGCAACAAGACATTAGACACAAATCATCATCGGTGGCGAAATCCAAATCTTCCACGATCTTTTCATCAATCAAACAGTGTATATCCATCTTCTCGCTCCTCACAGTTGTTTCTTGCATGATCCACCATGGTCCACCACAGTCAGGAAGATGATCGGTGATAGATAGTAGGTGGCAGCCTTGTGTTT